TGTTTTCGGAACGCTCAGTTAGATTTTCCCAGGCTGAGCGGAAACCATCGTTGGTAAGTGGTAAATTGGAAAGTAAGGAATGAGCTTCACCACTAGTCTTGGCATTTAAATAGAAAAATTTTTCTACAAGTGTACGCGCAAGATTGTTTATACAGACTGTTGTGATAAGGTCTCGGTAAGTTGGTCAGCCTTCGAGAACTTCCGTTTCGCACGGAGGAAGCCGACAGCCAGACGGAAAGGAATTTTGAGGTTGAACGGGTTTGAGCTAATCTGTTTTAAAAGAGATCCTTTTGATCTGTTCCATGAGCTGGTCGGCAAATCTTTTGTAAATAAAATAGGAATACTCGTATTTCGCATAAAGAGTAGGCAATGACCCTCAAAACCAACTGAAATTAGCTCTGAACAAGCTCTTTCTCGACCTTATCCCATAACGCTCGTTCTTGGTCGAGATGAATTTTCAACGTATACTGAGATTAGCGCCACTGGATTGCAGAATTTGGTTTCGAATTGATTCAGCCGGTGAGGTCAATATTTATTTTTTTAAAACGGAGCCCTACTGGTTTTATATATTTTTAGAAATTACTTAAAAGTATCGAAGCTTGGTTTATAATTTAGGAACCAATTGGACTTGTAGTATAGCTATAAAAGAGCTAATAATTATTTAACAAAATTTAAACTTATTTGAATAACTTTGATTTGGCCTTCTGAATACAACGATATTTCATAAATAAAACAAGAAAGTAAGCTTACTTCGGGAAGCCGAAGTTGAATACAATATAAATTATATATTCTTGTGTTAAAAACGATGAAATAATGCCTGCTCCATTTCTTTAACCTATACATATTACATTTACAGTTTTACTTTCACAGTTTTGCATATTCTTCTATATCTAATGATCGTTTATATGATATAGTCGTCAGTTTTTCGCAAAAATTTTACACAAAATATAAAATGGCTATATCTCAAATTTTATGAAAATCTTTTAAAAATCGAAAAAGTTATTATTTTTAATTTTATTAATTTCTCGATCGTTCCTATGGCAGTTATATGATATAGTGTCCGATTTTTATAAAATTTTACACATAATTGTAGAATAATATAAAATGGATATATGCCAAATTTGATAAAAATTTCTTAAAAACTGAAATAGTTATCAATTTTTTTTACAAACATTTTTCGATATTATACAGTCGTCCGATCCGGCCCGTTCCGAAATATATACGAGGGAGACTATGTAAAAGACTAACTACAAAGATTCACTCTGATAGCTTCAAAACTGAGAGACTAGTTTGCGTAGAAACGGACAGAAGGACCGACAGACTGTCAGACGGACATGGCTAGATCGACTCGGCTGTTGATGCTGATCAAGAATATATATAGTTTATATGGTCGGCGGTGACTTCTTCATTGCGTTGCAAACTTTTGACTGAAATTATAATACCCTGCAAGTGTATAAAAATGCAAGGAAATTAACTACCGAAGCGCTGACAGACTGCATGTATACTAAGTGGGTTAGAATTAAGGTTTTTAGGAAAGACTATCTACGTTAGAAATTAGTGTCTACAAATCATTATAATTTGCACATGACTCTAAAAGGTTCATGGAATAGGATGTAGTATTTCTACTTGGTACGTGGAGATAGATTTTACTCAATAAGTCAGCACTTTAAACATCACCATGAATAAGGTTGTAGATAAAGGCTATGTCAAGCATAGTTCTACGGTTGGCTAAGGGTGGTAAGCTAATTAGGAGGAGTCTATTAGTACTGAGGGCTCCTAACGCAGCATACATATTCTAAGATAGGACGAACTAAAGAAGTATATAAGGATTTAGTGACATAGTGGTCATTGAATTTCTTCGACCACCGTTTAATAAATCCAAGCACGCCCCTGGCTCTATTCACCATAGACGAAATATGATCAATAAAGTCAAGTTTTGGGTTGAAGCGGCCGCCCAATTCATTAACAGAATTAATTCTTTCCAAAGAGCAGCAGTTCAGCGTGTAAGTAGCAAGCTTAGGAACGACACGAGAGAATGTCATTAGCTTACATTTCGAGCCATTTAAGTTTAATAAGTTTACTCGGCACCAACTTTGAAAATTATTAAGATCTGTTTGTAAATCCGACTGGCAGGCAACGTCATTGCATTGCACGCAATGACATCATCCGCGTACATAAGCACTCTGGAGTTAGTCAAGACTTTGGGCAGGTCATTTATAAATAATGAAAACAATAAGGGTCCCAAATGGCTTCCTTGCGGGACGCCAGATGTAACCCTTAGAACATTAGATAAATTATTCTTAAAGAGGACCTTTTGCGTCCTGCCATTCAGTTAACTTGAGATCCAATTAAGAAGGTCACTTGGAAAACCCATTAAATCGAGGAGAGAATTGTTAACAAAGTCAAATGCTTTACTAAAATCAGTATAGATTACATCTGTCTGAAAATTATTATGGAATCCCTTTATAATATAGGAAGAGAGCTCCAAAAGATTTGTTTTTCGCTTCGCTTCGCTTCGCTTAATAAAACCATGTTGAGATGGAGAAATAACTGATCTACAAAGGTGCTGCAAGTGAGGAGTAATAATGTTTTCGAAAGGTTTTTTTAATGGTCGACAACTTAGAGATTCCTCTATAATTGCTAGCATCTAATTTGCTACCTTTTTATGTGGAGAGGAATAATAACCGATTCCTTCCAAATAATGGGAAAGTGGGAGGTTTCTAAGGATAAGGTGAACAATTTCAGAAGAGGATAGCACAAGGCGTCGGCACAATACCTGAGCACACAGCCAGGAATTCCGTCGGGACTTGGCGAATAAACTGGCTTGACACGATGACGATCTAAAAGGAGAGAGCTTTCGTTTAGGCTAGGACAGAATTTAGTTTGATTTGGATATGTCGTAGGAATAAATCTGGTTGTTTGAAAAAACTGCGAAAATAGATCGGCTATTGCCCGATCATTATTTGCGGTGGTATTTTCAAATGAAAGCTAAGAAGGATTTGTTTTAGGCTTACGTTTAGTTTTTTTTTAACACTGCGCGTTCAGCACGGTAAAGTTTGACCGAGCTGATAAATAAGATGAAAGGGCAGATTGAGAACAGGTGAATTTAAATTTAGCATACAGTCTAGATTTTTTATTTTTAAGTCGGCTCAACTCTTTAGTAAACCACGGCGGCTTATTAAAGCTAGGCTGATACTTTAACGGAACACATTCAGTAAAAAATTCATGGCACTGTAAAAAATATCCACGGCAACTGTCATGTCAGTGCACTTGTATAGATCGGACCAATTGAACTTGTTTATAAAGTCGTTCAAAGTCCGTCTTCCGAAAACATAAGACTTTTTTGGCTGGACGGTCAGATATATTCTGTACGTCAGACCCAATATCAAGAGTCGCACCGAAAGTTGGATGATAAGGATGATCAGAGAAGAAATAAAGTTCGACCAAGCGCTGTAAGGAACTTCGCAAATGGTTGACTTGAGACAGCGAAATGCCGAACAATCAAGCAATAAAGCCATGCTGTGTAGATGTATGAAGAATATTGGTATAATTATCTAGCCGATATACTGTGAACACAACTGGAAAAACTTCGGAGCTCAGAATCTCCGGCTTTAACCAGGATTCTGTGAGCACAATAACCTGAGATGCAAACGAAAGGCTATCAGAATACAAGTTTGGAAGCTTACTACGTAAGCCTCTTGCATTCTGATAGGAAATAGCTAGGGAGTAGGTTAGTTTTTTGGGTCGGGATTGGAAGACATAGACGGCGCAGTGGTATGATCAGGCCTGGGAAGAGTTATTCCTACAGGCCGCTTTTTCTTTTTCTTCGCTTCGAAATCCTTAACTGTTAAAGAGCTCGTTAGGGACATTTATTTTGAAAGATTTAATATCCCTAGCGTAAGAAAATTTAAACTTTTTCACCTTAATCTTTATTTTATCGGCTCTGGTCTTGCCTTGTATAAAGGCGAGAACATCTTCTGATGTTTGATCAGAGGAAATTCGTGCCATTGTCGGCCGGTATTCCGGGCCTAACACCCTGGAGCGCCTAGGAGACTCATTTAATAGCGTAAGGCTATTAAATTGGGTGTCGATGTTTTTTTTACATCATCCATCGTCCGAGCTGCAACACTAATACACTGACTGAAGGTGCAATACCATTTTTAATCAATTTAATTTCATTTTTATATCCAAATTTTTTTGACAAATCAAAATTTAAAAAATTCATAACTAAGCCAAAAACGCATTAATTTCAATTCGGAAAGCGTTCATATACTTATTTTTAGCATGACGTTGTCGCACAGGCAGCAGCCGATTGTAAGGACACCTGCAGAAATAGCCTTTTTGCAAATTTTGGCGAAATAGATAATATTTCCGGACATTTTAAAGACTTACCACTGTACTTGTACAGGAAAAAAAGAGGAAAAAAAAACAACAGAGCTATGAAGATAAGAAGGAAGAAGAGACACAGCGAGAGCGAGAGCGTGGGAGATCAGATAAGATAAGAACTGCAGCGGCACAGCGAAAGCAAGAGAGTGGAAGAGCGTGGGAGATAAATAGCAAAAACGTTTAGCTGTTGCGACGGCGCAAACAAAAGCTAAACGAAGAAGGCACAAAAATCAATGCAAAATGTGGATAAGCTAGCACTAGCAGCACAACTAAATTGGGAAATAAAACCTATTATAAACAATAATCAAAATAGCTGCATGCAAACGCAAAGTGAACGGGAAGTAAATAACACAAAATAGAAAATTTAAGTTAACCCCTGTTGTTATTTTCAAACTTTTACACAAAACGAGAGCGCAAGAAAAAAGCACGTCCGTTCACTTGATGCAAAAAGGTTTGGGCATCGGATATTCTACGGTCAAGATAAACGAATGATTTTTAAGTAGTTTTATTCAGGATGGTGGGGTAAATAATTGTTGCATAAAGATATTTGAATATAGTTGAAAAGAATGGAAATAATTACCACTTGTCCTAAAACATAATAACATTTTAGTTTTATTTAAGTTTTGTTTACTCAGAGATAATAAATTTCATAATAAATGCATCCGTTTCGTAGGAAATTAGAATAAAGCTATTTTAAATCTATAAAAAAATTAAAACAACATTATGTCTTGTATAGCTGACAAGCAACGGTGTTTATCAGGCAAATAAAAAGGTTCAAAGACATGCGGAAACGGAGTATCCCATCCCGTCACACGCCTTACTGGGGCTTCAAGATGTAAAAAACATTTTTCTTGAATGTAGGCAGCTATCTCTGACCCAAATCCTTGAGTAAGGGGAGCTTCATGTGCTATTATTACTCGCCCAGTTTTTTTCGCTGACTAAAATTAAAGTTTATGTGAATTATAGCAAGTGACAGTATATTAAATACATACCTTACAAACAGCATCAGTGTCCCATGGCAAAATGGATACTAAATCTATAACTTCACAGTCAACACTAAGTTTTTCTTGTACAAAGTTAGCCACCTAAAACAAAATATAGTCTTACAAAAAGAAAAAAAATATGTGTGACGTACTTCTAATAGCACATGTACTTGTGTGCCCCAGCCAATGAGTGTGACATCTTTTCCTTCACGTAAAACGTCTGCTTTTCCGAGATCCGAGGTATAATAATCCAATGGTACTTCCTCAACCGCAGCTCGATATAATGTCTTGGGTTCAAAAACGATACATGGATTAGGATCACGAACACAGGCTAGAAGCAATCCTTTCGCCTTAATCGGACCCCGAGGAATCTAATAATAAATTAAATAGTATATCAAAAATAATATAATTCCATAGGGAGGTTATGTCACTACCACTATGCGAAGGCCTGGTGTGTGAGCGAAGTATGCTTCTGGGCTTTGAGAGTGGTAGAGTGCTCCATGTCCAACAGCACCGCAAGGAACTCGAAAAGTTAGTGATCCACAGTCAAAGAGTCCCCCACTTCGATACCGATATTTTGCAGCTTCGTTCACTATCTGATCAAAACTAGGAAATATATAATCCGCAAATTGAATTTCTGCTATTGCAGTAGCTCCAGTATTGGCGACTCCAATAGCAAAACTGTAAAAGACAAAATTGAAATAATATGTCCAATTACAGTTAGGACAGTTTCTTAAGTGTAATAAGTTAAAAAGTTTCAATCAAATGTCCCCGGCTATAAAATACCCTTGACCATAAGCGATTTGCGATAAATAAAACAAGATACAGTAGAAGTAAAATTTTCGAATTTCAGTGTATCCCCTGTGTGACTTAAAATGTATTAACAATCACAGAAATCTATTTTCCGAACAAACAAAAAACGGATTAGTATGGATACAAGATTTAATCATTTTAGGTTAAGTTAGCTAAAAAAAAAAATTATCTTCTTCTTATGGACACATTTTATGTATAACTGAAATTAATTACGAGCTCGAATCTTTTCATACCCGAAAAAATTAAAGATCGAGGCGGGATCATTTTGTCCTTATTTTTATTTCCTTACAAAATATATCGAATATATTTTAAACGTTTACATGTGCATATATACTTCATAAATCGGAATGGCTAACGAACAAACAGAATCCCATAATATTCATGTTATTTAAGAAGGGAGCCAAAGCCAAAAGCAACATTTTTAAATAAAAAATCAACCACTTAGAAGAAAAAGGTAAATATCCTGTGAATCATTTTTCAAAAAACTATCAATATCCGGCATGATTTATACAATTATAAGTTTTATGGAATTCATTAATAATAAAGATCCTTCAGATGTGTTATATAAGGACATACCACAAACTTATTTTTATACCCTTGCAGGGTATTATAATTTCAGAAGTCAGAAGTTTGCAACGCAGTGAAGAAGGCACCGACTATATAAAGTATATCAAGAATATGATCAGGATCAACAGCCGAGTCGATCTAGCCATGTCCGTCTGTCCGTTTCTACGCAAACTAGTCTCTCAGTTTTGAAGCTATCTAAATGAAACTTTGTAGTTAGTCTTCTATATACTCTTACTCGGATCGGACGACTATATCATATAGCTGCCATAGGAATAATCGGAACATTTTTACAAAAAAAATTATAACATTTTCAGTTTTCAACAGAATTTGATCAAATTTGAGATATAGCCATTTCATATTATTCTACAATTTTGTGTAAAATTTTTTGAAAATTGGACGACTATATCATATAGCTCCCATAGAAACGATCGAAAAATTAATTCAATTAAAAAGTATAACATTTTCAGTTTTCAAAAGATTTTCATAAAATTTGAGATATAGACATTTTATTTTAATCTAAAATTTTTTGTAAAGTTTTAAAAAAACCAGACTACTATATAACATTGCTGCCATAGGAACGATCAAGAAATGAATACAATTAAAAATTATAACGTTATCAGTTGTCAGCAGATTTTCATTGAATTTGAGATATAGCCATTTTATATCAGTCATAAATTTTGTGTCACATTTTATGAAAATCGGACGACTATATCACATAGGTGCCATACAAACGATCGTTAGATGTGGAGCAAAAATGCAAATCTGCGAATGTAAAACAGAAAATATAATATGTATAGGTGAATGAAATGAAAGCAGGTATTACTTCATTGTTTTTAAACATAAATATATATAATTGATATTGTATGGATTCCTAGTCATTGAAGCTCTATATGCAACGGTATATAAACTTCGGTGTGCCGAATTTAGCTTTCTTTCTTGTTATTAATTAAAAAACATAAACTTAAATAAGTTTATGCATTGATTTGATTTTTAAAACAAAACTTATAATGATTACGCTCCCTGCTTTTAAGTGTAGACAAAATAAAATTTATGTTAGTAAGAGTAGGCAGGGAAAGTAGGTTGCAAACCGGAAAATGGACCATAAACGGATTAGAGATAACAATAACTTAGATATATCAATAACTTGGGAATCCCAATGATCTGAAACAAGCCTTTAAAAACAAAAATTTTACAATAAAATATAAAAAAATAAATATAAAATATCGACTAATAATAATATTAAATAATATTTAAGATATTTGTTAACAAATTCTTAAATCAATTTTTAATGCCTACAAAGGAGGACAAAACGTCTGACCTTATATCAAACAAATTATATATGTTACATATTTCTGTTAATAGTGCATATATATTATATATACTTTTTTAACCTATTAAAATTTAAAAAATTATTAAAACAACAAAATACATATAATTATCGAAAGTGTTAGAGATTACAAATATAATATTAGTAAGTAATTATAATTTTTTATTATTATGTATTAGTATTTAAGTTTACTATTTCTTAAATAACCTAAAATAATAATCTAATTTAAAATCCTAAAATTGAGTTTGTTTTAATATATGGGCAATTCTCCAGCAAGGTCCACCGCGGCCAAAAACTTAAAATTTCTTAAAAACGAGTATTTTTAACATGGTTACATAAAAAATTGAACAGATTGATCAAGACTAAGAAAATTTTTCATTTTCTAAAATAAATTTTAAAAAATTCGATGTCAAACACGCGCAAACGCAAATAATGTTGTTTTTATAAAAAAAAGGCATAAAAATGGATTGTTTTGTTTTGATGTCAATCTCTTAAACAAAAGCATTTTGCTTTGACTTTTGCTTTCTAATATCACATAGAAAACCCAAAGAGTCAATATAAAGTGGAAAAGGACATATGGGCAATTCTCTGGTGTCGAATGCGACATTCGTACGCATTCAAACTAAAAAAACACATGTGCCAAGACTTTATTTTAATTTTATAAAAATTGAAACGTATAGCTCTTGGTTAGCACTATAATTGGTGCAAAGGTCGATTTTGAACCCTTGTTTGTTTTCAAGATATTCACTAAAATGTACTGCGTTCGCACGCGACAAAAATAGAAGTTACATTTGAAAAAAACCAGTTTAAGCTCTGATTTCAGCGAAACGTGATGAAAAATTGTAGTACAATAAATTTTAATGAATTACGCAATGAATTATCTTACTAACGTATTTTGTTTGATTTTAAAATATTAAGTAGTTATTTTTTAAATTCAATTTTAGTCCCGGTCGCACGCGACAGTTTGGAAAGCGATAATTCAAACTGAAACTGTACGAATATTGGTGATCGGATATGTCCTTTTGCACTTAATATTGAATCTTTGGGTTTTTTATGTCATATTAGAAACCAAAAGTTAAAGCAAAATGGTTCGGTTTAAGAGATGGGCATCAAAACAAAACATGCCATTTTTATACCCTTGCAGGGTATTATAATTTCAGTCAGAAGTTTGCAACGCAGTGAAGGAGGCACCTCCGACTATATAAAGTATATATATTCTTGATCAGGATCAACAGCCGAGTCGATCTAGCCATGTCCGTCTGTCCGTCTGTCCGTCTGTCCGTCTGTCCGTCTGTCCGTCTGTCCGTCTGTCCGTCTGTCCGTTTCTACGCAAACTAGTCTCTCAGTTTTTAAGCTATCTGAATGAAACTTTGCAGTTAGTCTTCTATATACTCTCACTCGTATATATGTCGGAACGGGCCGGATCGGACGACTATATCATATAGCTGTCATAGGAATGATCGGAAAAGTTTTACAAAAAAAATTATAAAATTTTTAGTTTTCAACAGAATTTGATCAAATTTGAGATATAGCCATTTCATATTATTCTACAATTTTGTGTAAAATTTTATGAAAATCGGACGACTATATCATATAGCTCCCATAGGAACGATCGAGAAATTAATTCAATTTATAAGTATAACAGTTTCAGTTTTCAACAGATTTTCATCAAATTTGAGATATAGCCGTTTCATATTATTCTACAATTTTGTGTAAAATTTTATGAAAATCGGACTAATATATCATATAGCTCCCATAGGAACGATCGAGAAATTTGAGAGGAATGAGAATGGCGGTGGCTGTTGTCGGAAGACTGACAATCGCGGTGGCGATAACATTTTTAGTTTTCAACAGAATTTAATCAAATTTGAAATATAGCCATTTCATATTATTCTAAAATTTTGTGTAAAATTTTATGAAAATCGGACTACTATATCATATAGCTCCCATAGGAACGATCGAGAAATTAATACAATTAAATTTATAACTTTTTTAGTTTTCAGCTGATTTTCATCAAATTTGAGGTATAGCCATTTTATATAAGTCTTAAATTTTGTGGCAAATTCCGTAAAAATCGGACTACTATATCATATAGGTGCCATACAAACGATCGTTTGATGTAGAGGAAAAATGAAAATCTGTGAATGTAAAACTGCAAATATAATATGTATAGGTGAATGAAATGAAAGCAGGTATTACTTCATTGTTTTTTAACACAAATATATATAATTTATATTGTATGGATTCCTATTCATAGAAGTTCTATCTGCAAGGGTATATAAACTTCGGCGTGCCGAAGTTAGCTTCCTTTCTTGTTTATGCCTTTTTTTTGATAAAAACAACATTATTTGCGTTTGCGAGTGTTTGACATCGATTTTTTTGAAACTTATTTTAGAAAATGAAAAATTCTCTTAGTCTTGATCATCCTGACCAATTTTTAATGTAATCATGTTAAAAATACTCGTTTTTAAGCAATTTTAAGTTTTTGGCCGCGGTGCACGTTTCTGGAGAATTGCCCATATGCGATCACCAATATTCTCACAGTTTTAGTTTAAATTAAAAAATTTTAAAAATAACTACTTTATATTTTAAAATCAAACGAAATACGTTAGTAAAATAACTAATTGCATACTTATTAAAATTTATTTCATTAAAATTTTTTATCATGCTTCGCTGAAATCAGAGGTTAAATGTAAATGTAAATGTAACTTCTGTTTTTGTCGCGTGCGAATGCAGTACATTTTAGTGAATATATTGAAAACGAACAAGGGCCTCGATCTTAGCACCAATTGTAGTGCTAAGAGCTATTCAGAAACAAAAAACGTAAACAATATTTTTTCACACCTTTTCAGCCTTCTATTCTTAGACCATCTAGCTCCCACCCATACAAAATGTATTCATCCAAAAAATTAATGTTTAGCAGATCTCCCGCACTTTGGCTTCAAAACTGACTAAGCAACTCCAGATATATTCC